TTATTGAGACAGGCTCTCCCTGTAGCCCCAGCTGGCTTGGAACTCGCTATTGTAGACCAAGCTGGCCTTGAACTCACAGAGATCCTCTTGCCTCTGCCTCCAGAGTGCTACGATTAAAGACATGTGCCACCGTGTCTGGCCTTGCTATTACTTGCTTTCTATTCCCCGCCCCCTCAAAAAAAAAAAAAAAACAATTTTAGTGGCTTAGGCTGGGGGTATATACCTGGAATCTTAGCATTCCTGGGGTAGAGGCAGGAGGAACACCAGTTCTAGGGGAGCCTGAGGGTCACAGCATGATGCTGTCTCAAAGAAACAAACCAAAAAAATCCCCCATAGTTTGATTTTTTTCTTATTAAAATAATATATCAAATAAATTAAATATTAAATAATTTTAAATGATGTATTTAAAGTTCAGGTATATACCTGGAATCTTAGCATTCCTGGGGTAGAGGCAGGAGGAACACCAGTTCTAGGGCAGCCTGAGGTTCACAGCATGATGCTGTCTCAAAGAAACAAACCAAAAAAATCCCCAATAGTTTGATTTTTTTCTTATTAAAATAATATATCAAATAAATTAAATATTAAATAATTTTAAATGATGTATTTAAAGTTCAAATGAGACAACTCACACAAAAGAAGACAGTAAACACTGGAATTAAGAAATATTTATTATTTTTAGTTTATGTATATGAGTGTATTGCCTGCATGTATGTAGGTGCACCCGTGTTGTGCAATGCCTACAGAGGACAGAAGAGGGCATTGGATCCCTTGGAACTGGAGTTACAGATGATTGTTAGTCACCATGTGGGTGCTGGGAACCGGACCTGGGTTCTCTGCCGAGCCATCTCTTCAGCCAAACACTGGAATTTTTATATCTCAGCAATAAGTAGTTCTTGGTGAATATTTCATCAGACCTTTAAATGCACTTTATTTCAAATGTACTTTAGAGGCAACTATATAATATATATGTGCCTGTTCATATATGTAAGTAGTAATATGCTGTGGAAGTAGTTTAGAATCTCTCTAGGATGAGGCCAGAGCATATATTTTACTTTATTTTGTTTTTCAGAGCACGTTTAAAATTTTTTTTGATTTATTTATTTATATATTTTTATGCATATGGGTGTTATGCCTGCATGTATGTAAGTGCATCCATGTCATGCATTGGATTTGGAACTGAAGTTATGAATGACTATTAGCTGCCATGTGGATGCTGGGATTCAAACCTGGGTCTTTTGCAAGAACAGCCAATGGTTTTAACCACTGAGCCATCTCTCCAACTCCCTCAGAACACATTTTTTAATTAAAAAAATGTTAGTGGTTTACATAGTGGCACATGCCTTTAATCCCAGTACTCAGGAGGTCTCAGAAGCAGGTGGATCCCTGTGAGTTTGAGACTAATCTGGTCTACGTATTAAGTTCCAGGCCAGCCAGGACTACATAGTGAGATCCTGTTTCAAACAAAACAAAAACAAAAACAAAAAAATGTTAGCTGCCATGTGGGTTCTGGGAACCAAACCCTGGTTCTCTGTGAGCAGCCAGTGCTTTTTTTTTTTCCCTCCCCTGAAACCTTCGTATTGTTTATTTTTATAAGGAAATATGTGATTTCCTTAGAAAGAGAACGGAATGTGGCATTTTCTTGTAGTCAAGTTTAAATCATACTAAAGAGACAAGCAGTTCATATTTGCAACTTTATGTTTTGTTGTACATCACCGCAGTATTTTGAATGTGTTTTCTCTAAAACTGTTGGAAACAAATAATTTCCCACTTTTATGGAGGTGTCAGTGAAAGGTACTTGAGTTCATTTTTCCTACTCCATACATCTAGAACTAAAAGCTCAGTGGAACTTCCATTCATCCTGGCTAGTGTTTAACATTGTCATAGCTTCTGCATCTTCTTTAGGAAGATAAAGTGCAAAGCGCCTCCTTCACCAAGACAACTGAACTTTCCAACAGTAAGAGTGTGATAGAGAGGTGCTTGGTAAAGGCTGTCAAGCCTCTACTATGTGATATCTAAGCCTCTACAGTGATACCTATCATGTTTAGGAGTCTCAGCAAATGAGCCCCAGGCTTACACTCAAGCCTGGAGCAGACACTTGAATCATTATAGGGTGAAAAGGAATATGCAGAGTTACAAAGGAAGGTAGACTATCGCTGTGTCCCCTGGCCACCCCCCCCAGGCCACCTTCCACCCAGTATGGACTGAGGAGAGGAATCTTAGTGCCATAGATACAGGAAAGAGGACACATCGGTTGGTTCAGAAATGCAGTCTTCACAGGTGAATGTCTCCAACTCTTGTGATATACTGTGCTCTTTGAAGAGACCATCTGTGGGCTGAAGGGGTAGCTTCACATGGAAAATAAAAGGAAAGGCTGCATGAATTTATCACTAAAACATGAATCCCCAAAATTCCCATGTCACAGTTCCTGTTCACCAAGCTTCTGGCATCTTCCATTCCCAATTCTGAAAGCTGGCTTTCCATAATTTGCACTGGCTTCCAACAGCCAGACAGGGCAGATGCCATGCAAAACTCTTACCTAAAATATGAAATGTTGCCTCTATTTGTATTGAACACAAAAATAAGTTTTATAATTCTCACGAATAGATCTTGTTGGTTTAAACTGCAGTGAGCACTTTATTCATGCTCCTACACACAGGCAAATGCAGTACATGGAATCTGTAAAAGCCCTCCATGTGCTCTGCAGAAGCGCGGGCTGGGCTACTTAACGTTATTTTGTGATAGAACTATTATTAAACTGAAGAATCATTTGATGTAATTTATGGAATTTTCTATAACTTTGTTAGAATATTGATACATTACTTCTTTAAAAATCTAACCCCAGAATAGGTGTAATTTAAAAACCCATATTTTTCTCCTCTCTTACTTGGCCTTTGGAAAATATCATCATGGTAATTTACTTGACAGCACTGACAGAGTAAATCTTGGAAGAGGAAAGCTGAGAACAGGTAAAACACATGAGAAGTCCAGTCTATGCATCTTAGCCCACATCCTTAGCTGGGCATCGTGGCACACGCCCGTAGTCCCAGCACTTGGGAGGCAGAGGCAGGCGGATCTCTGTGAGTTCAAGGCCAGCCTGGTCTACATAGTGAGTTCCAGGTCAGCTGGGGCTGCAGGGAGACCCTGTCTCAAAAAGACCAAAAAAAAAAAGTCAACAGCTGGGGCTACAGGGAGACCCTGTCTCAAAAAGACCAAAAATAAAAAAATGTCAAAAGTTTTCAAGATTAAAACCAAATTATTTTTCCTATGCAAACTAGAATTTTCTAAGTCCTGAGGCATAAGGATTCTTTCCAAATCAAAAAGATAAATATCAGATAATTTTGTTTGCTCTATTTTCTACAGGCTTTTATAGACCTTGTTTTTTAAGTTTAAAGTATAATGTAAAATAAAAATTGATATTAGTGTGTCATCTATGACTCTACTCCAGATAGCTATGTGGTTTTTAAGGAGCATTAAATTTTCATTGGCTTGAGGCTATGGTATTTGGAATTATTTTTCTTCTCTCACCCAGGAGCCTCATAGTTCCTCACTGACATTACTCTTCACAGAATACTTTTAATGACATTTTTTATTATTGTAAGTATATTTAGAGAGCAGATAAATTGAAGCTTCCAGACTTCCAAATGTCAAGCTGTTGATTCAGGTCTACACAGTAAACTATGCATGAACCCAGTATTCTAGACCAGATTTCTTTCTTTGCCACCTTGACTCTTTTTTTTTGTTGTTGTTGTTGTTTGTTTGTTTTGTCTTTTTGAAACAGGGTCTCCCTGTAGCCCCAGCTGTCCTAGATTCACTATGGAGACAAGGCTGGCCTTGAACTCACAGAAATCCACCTGCCTCTGCCTCCCGAGTTAAAGGCATGCACCACCACCCAGCTGACTCTTTTTATTTATGTATTTATTTATTTTTTAACTTTTACAAAAAATATATTGAGAATTTCATACATGTATATAAGGCATTTTGATCAAATCCATGCCCACTCCCTCCCTTCCAACACCTCCCATATCTCCCCATCACTTTTTCCTTTTTCTTTTTTTTTTCCCTTCTTTCATTTTTTTTTTATATGGGGCTTTTGGGTACTCTAACATTCTCCCCTCTGAAGAGGTAACCCTAAAATCTTTTAAGGATTAGATACAAGCTCCCAAATACTTTTGACATTTTTGGCCTTTGGAACAGAGTATGTTGCTAAGAGGTCCAAGGACATTTTGACTTTTAGCCAAGAAATTGGCTGCTTTTCTTTGGGATCTTTTTGCTCTAACTGCCTAGCCAATTCCTGTCTCCTATTCTTATCAAGCCATCCTCTGAAGGGGTTACCCAAATTCTCAATAGGGAATCGGGACACAGCAGCTCTGGCTTCCATGCTGAAAAGGGACTCAGGGTGAGGCAATTGGAGTACCCCTTCAGTGGATCTAGCTAAAAGACTCCCAAATTGTATAACTCTTATCTCTAAGGGGAAAAGAAAGTCCTTGAGTCGTAATAGGAGATGTGAAGGAGAAGTAAAGGCAAGAGTAATTAGCATTACAAGTTCTAGACAGGGAACTAGAAAAAAGTCAGAGCAGGGCATTTTTCACATGTTCATATGCAAGTCCATTAATTTCTTGAGCTTCCAAAAGCATCCCACTATTGGGTTCTTCCTCATTATTCTTTTGTCTTCCAAGGCTGGACTCTAGAGTGATGGATTCAGGATTTGCTCTCAGGTATTTTGATAGCTGTTGGAGTGGTTAGAATCAGTATCAGCTCCCTCTCAAAGGCTTCTAGAGAGGGGGAGAAAACAAATTTATTCATCATTTTAGAACAATAGCTGGTTATCTCGCTTAGCTGTAGGTGGGCACTACAGTATTGGAGACCAAGATTTGAAGTCTTACATCTGGGAAGCACTTTCTGGTTAGGAACAAAATCCTCAATGAGAAATGATTGTCTAAATAACTTTTTATATAGACTTAAGCCTAATGTCTGGGAAGTGTAATCCCTTGAACTCTTAAAGAAGTACACTGATGACTGTACTCTTTGGTTATACTTTCCTTTTGGGTGTCTTTTGTCTTTTTGAGACAGGGTCTCCTTGTAGCTCCAGCTTTCCTGGAACTCACTATGTAGCAGGCTGGCCTTGAGCTCACAAAGATCCACCTGTTTCTGCCTCCCAAGTGCTGAGATTAAAGGCGTGTGCCACCATGCCCGGCCCTTTTGGGTATTTAAGACTATACAGTTGGCCCAAATAAATCAACTTATTTTTACTTAAGGTCATTTGAGGATCTGTTCCTCAGGGGTCACATGGGCTTGGGAGGAGCTCCTGGCTCCTTTCTTTTACCAGTTCCGTCTATGTGAAGATAAGTCAAAGGTCCTGCTCAACTATGTCTGACTTCACTTGGAAGCATGAATGCGATGTTTCCTCTAAGTTGACCCTCCTCTTTGTAGACTGGATACTGGTTCAAGTCCATCTCATGGGGTTTCCATGTCTTCCCTGAACAAGAGGACAGGTGACTTACCACATTTACAGGACATTTTGAGAGATGTTCCATAGTCCCCTGGAACTTGGTCAACTTTGGAAGGCAAGGGGCAAAAAACTGTCCTTTAAGTCCCTCTGATGTCATTAGTATAGGCCTTAAAGTATGGCTGTTAAACATCCAATAAAGTTAGTTGGTACTTTTAATTATCATGTGCTATGTAGATAAGGCTTGAGTAAAAAAGCAAATATTCTCAGATAAACCTTGACAAGATATATATTTTGTTCCTTAAACTGGTTGACTAAACTATGACCATAGAAATTTAAAGATTATCTATGTCTTAAATATGTCTCATCCTTTATATATCATAACAAACCTAAACAGACCTTTATCACTTGCTTAGGGAGGGTTTCTCATTTTTTCTATTTTGGAAAATATCTTCATTCCCATATTCTTTTAACATCTTTTACATTCTCATTTTCTTTTTTTTTTAATAATTATGAGATATAATAGCATTAACAAATAAATTTTCCATTGGTTGTGAAACTTCTTTTCCTGGGGATGCTAAGCAATGCTTACTCCTTTTTAAGGTTCTAGTGTCAAGTCAATGTTTCATTAAAGTTTTACTGGGAAACCAATGAATTTATCAAGCTTACTTACCAAGATAATTGAGGGGTTGCTGAGGTGTATGTATGACCTGAGGGTATGCACACTGGATAGTCTTTACTCAGCATGGGTCATGCCTTCTCTTCCTAGCCTCTGCAGATTGTATACTTTAGCCCTCCCCAAAGCCAGGAGGCCATGTGTGATTAGGGTCAAATTACATACAGTTGGCTGGGAAGAGTGGCAGTCAGTGCTCTTAACTGCTGAGCCATCTTTCTAGCTCTGCAACTTGTTTTCCTAGAATAAGCAAAATATGAGTTTTCTTTTTCTCTTATAAAGATAAGCCATGCTGAGTATAAAGATCTTTGAAAGTGAGGGAACAAACACCATTACATCTTTCTGTCCTGAAATGACTATTAGAGACCAAAATGTTGCATGACCTTTTTAAAAAATAAATATTGAAGCCCCTGAGAGGTTAGAGATAGAAAGAACCCAGGAGGCTGTCTAAAGAGGATGAAGAACCACATTTGTTGTGGTGCTGTTAGTAACAGTCTGGTTTCATTTCTGTTGCTGTGAGTGGAGAAGGTGTTTATTCAGCTTATAGTTCCAGCTTAGAGCCCATCATAGGAGGAAAGTCAAAGTGACAGGAACTTAACAGCTAGCCACATTACATCCATGGTTACGAGTGGAGAACGACTACATGCATGCCCACTTGCTTACTTGCTTGCTTGTGCTCAGCTTGATTTCTCCACTCATACAGTTCAGGACCCCCTTCCTAGGGCATGGCATCCCACAGTGGATAGGGTCATCCTACATCAATTAACTTAAGACAGTCCCCCACAGACATATCCACAGGCCAACTCAGGATAGTCAGTCCCTCATTGCAACTCTCTTCCTATGTAATTCTAGGTTGTATCAACTTGACGATTAACGTGAACTGTCCCACTTTAGGCATAGGTTTATGAGATGGAACCTTGGCTCCATTTTTCCCCCTAGCCCTGGGCATACACTGTTCGTAACAGTGGCGGGAAGCTAAGCTAAAGACTTTTAGTTTAGGTCTTGGTGGTCGGTGCCACATTGGGCACATGCAGAACCTCAGTGAATGTTGGTGACCAAGTGAATTGTTCTTGATTACATTGCCACTCTGGAATTGTGTCTATATAATTTGAATAGTTGTATATATTTGAGTTTAGATATCTGTGGACCTTGACATATTTTTACTTGAAAATTCTTTTTATAGAAGTAGACAATGTGGCCCAATGTCACATTCAGCTTGCACAGACTCTAAGAGAAGAGGCCAGGAAGATGGAAGAATTCAGGGAAAAGCAAAAGCTACAGCGGAAAAAGGTTGGTTTTATGTTTGTGTTAAAACGTCACCTTCCTGTAGAAATTCTCAGGCATGTCCGTTACTAAATTCCTCACCTTGGCTCCCATGCAGAACAGAGTCATGCTCGTTTTCTGTCCCGAGAAATTATTTTTTGGAGTTCTATGTGGGGACTCTGTATAGGAATTTATGTTCTGTATCCCAGGCTAGTCCTCCTTTTACAAATCCTTACAGGAAGGCTGAAGAGAGAGCTCAGTTGCTAAAGTGCTTGCCTCATAAGCTTGAGGGCCTGCGTTCAATCACCAACAACCCAGATAAAGTCTTAGAGGATTCAGGTGTTCCGCTTGCATGTCTCCTTTTAGATCTGCTGCCGCCCCCCTCAGTGAAATCTAGCACATCCTAGTCGGCTTGCTTCTAGATCACACTTCTGGGCAAGGCAGTGGGAAGAGGTGAAGAAGTGGAGGAGACTCTTGCTTTCCTTTAAGTTCATAATTGTGCTGGATAGCTTTAGTGTCAACTTGACACACCTGGGTTGAGGGAGCCTCAATTGGAGAATTGCCTCCATTGAACTGGCCTGTGGCCATATCTGTGGGGCATCTTCTTGATTATTGAATGCTGTGGGAGGGCCCAGCCCACGGTGGGTGGTGCCACCCCTGGGCAGGTGGGCCTGTGTTGTATAAGAAAGCAGGCTGAGCAGGGGCCAGGGGAGCAAGCCAGTAAGCAGTGTTCCTTCATGTCCTGTGGTCCAGCTCCTGCCTTCAGGTTCCTGCCCTGAGTTCCTACCTGGGGCTCCCTGATGAACTGTGACCCAGGAGATGTAAACCGAATAAACCCTTTCCTCCCCAAGTTGGTATTGGTCAGAGTGTTTTATCACAGTAATGAAGAAACAAACCAGAATAATAATGCAATAGGATAAACTCTGTTTTATAACTGGAGAAACTGTGACCTTGAGAAATTCAAATTTTTTTTGTCTTCACATCAGCTCTGCAGAGGCTCTTTTTCATGGACAGGTGTATTAGTTACTTTTCTGTTGCTATGATAAGACACCATGACCAAGGCAACTTATAGAAGAAAGAGTTTATTTGAATTCACAGTTCCAGGGGTAAGGGTCCATAATGGTGAGGGAGGCATGGCAGAAACACAGCTGGAGCAGAATCAGAGCCATCACATCTTCAAACAGGCACAGGAAGTAGAGAGTGACTGGAAATCTGGCAAGGGTTAAGAACCCTCAGCCCCCTTCCCATCTCCAGTGCCATGCTTCCTCCAGCAAGGCCCCACCTCCTAAAACTTCCCAAAACAGTGTCACCAAGTAGGGACAAAATGTCCAAATACTTGGAGCCTCTGGGGGATATTCTCATTCAAACCCCACAGCAGGATTTACTTTAGTTTATGGAAGGAGATGGGAGAAAATAAGAGTTCTTATAATAAAATTGGTAAATGTTTAGGGGCTTAAAGGGATCATGTAAAGCAGAAAGCCAGGTTTATAGTACAGTGTTGTGTAGACTAGATCAGCCATGATTCTGATTCCTTTTAATTTTTATTTATTTTTTTTAATTTTTTATGTATATGTGTATTGCCTGCATGTATGTTAGTGTACCCATGTCATGCAATGCCCACAGAGGTCAGAAGAGGGTGGAGTTATGGACAGTTGTTAGCTGCCATGTGGGTGATGGGAATAAAATCCAGGTCCTCTAGCAGAGCAGCCGGTGCTATTAACCACTGAGCCATCTCTTCATCCCCTAAAATGAAAATAAAAAATTTTTTTTGAGACAGGATCTCTCTATAGCCCCAGCTGGCCAAGAACTCACTATATAGTACAGGCTGGCCTTGATCTCACAGAGATCCACCTGCCTCTGCTCTGCCTCCCAAGTGCTGGGGTTAAAGGTGTGTGCCACCATGCCTTGTTCTTGACTCCCTTTTGTTCCTGAAAGAACTGTACATGCACGGTGACCTTGTAGCTAAGTAGAGCCCATCAAGAATTTCTTTCTGTACCAAGACTTCAATACTGGGAGGCTGGCCTCACAGTGGGGACAAACTCTTCCCTATCTGGCACTCAAAGATTTCTACCCACTCTCTTGGAACAGGTGTATATGGGCATTTGGGAACTTGTCATCCCTCCTGGAGATCCTTTTTGCTTATTATTTTTATTGTTTTTATGTGTATGAGTGTATTGCCTACATGTATGTAAGTGTACCTGTGACATGCAATGCCTGCGGAGGTCAGAAGGCTTTGGATCCCCTGGAACTGGAGTTATGGGTGGTTATTAGCTGCCATGTGGGTGCTGGGATTTGAACCTGTGTCCTCTGCAAGAGCAGCCAGTGCTCTTATCCACTGAGCCATTTTTCCAGCCCCTGGAGATTCTTTTTGGAAACCTTAGGCTGTTCACTGTACCTGAGGTTGTTTTCTATAGTGCGTATCCTATCAACAGCCAGTGTTAAGGCTGATTCTACTATAACTTTTCAATCTGAACAGCTTTGTCTGAAGTTCTAAGTTGGAGGCTCAATAGTCTAGGTTGGTAGTCACTAGCATATCAGTTGGTAGCAGTGTCTTAAGAACCTGACTGTCAGGGCTGAAGAGATGGCTCAGAGGTTAAGAGCACTGGCTGCTCTTGCAGAGGACACAGGTTCAAATCCCATCACCCACATGGCACCTAACAACCAACTTTAACCCAGTTCCAGGGGATCCAACACTTTCCTCTGACTTCCATGGGCACTTGCATACATGCATGCAATACAGTCATATACATAAACATAAAAAAATACAAAAAAGAAAAATTCATTAAAAAAAAGAACCTACCTGTCTAAAATCTAAGGTCATTTCATGAGCTGCTTTTTAAATTTTGTTTGTTTAAGGCAGGGTCTCATGTAGCCCAGACTGGCCTCCAACTCACTATGTAGCTGAGTTCTCCTACCTCTACCTCCCAAGTGCTAAGGTTACAGACGTGAGCTGCCGTGCCTGGCTCATAAGCTGCTCTTCGCATACCACTGCTTCTTCCCATTTCTCAGCCTGTACTTGTGCTGTGCTTCTTACCAGGAAGAAAAGGCAGACATAAATGTTTAAGGAGCATCCTGTCAAGTATTTTCACATCTTCTCTCAAGTTGTGTGTCAGGCTTGAGGCTTGCACCTGGCAGAAATAACACGTATGCTGTGCACATCTGACACTGCCAGGCCTGCCACCTCATTAGGGAAAATACTTTTTTTTTAGAGGAGTACCTGGGAGCTCAAGAGATGGCTCAGCAATTAGAACTGCTTCCACAGAGGACCTGAGTTTGGTTTTGTACCTCCATGTTGGATGACTCACAGCTGCCTGGAACTCCAGCTCTAGGGGTTCTGATGCCCTCTTCTTGCCTCCCCAGGCACCTGCACTCATGGGCACACATACAGACATACAGACACACATACACACACACACACACATGCGTGTGTGCAAATACACACATAATTAAATAATGATAATAAAAAATAAGGAAATGTTTGGAACAGTAAAAAAATTTAAAAAGACGCAAAGTTCCTTAGACACCAGTCTATGCATATATGGTTCCAGCATAAGAGGCATTTCCTCATGTTTCCAAGTGTCTTTGAGTAGCCTGGGCCATTTGGGGAGACTTGCTAATTTTGCAAGGCTTTTGAAACTCATTTTAGTAAGTTCCATACATCTAGTTGTTAGAGGAACGTGCTATGAACAGTAGAGTAGCAGTGTTCACCTCCAGTTCCCTCTCCAGCAGAACACTTTCAAAACTTTGAAAAATCTGAAGTTTGTTAATGAAATTGTAATTATGAGGGTTTCAGTGAACTCTGGGTGGCACCACTTCTATATTTGGTACTTTTTGTTTTTTTAAAGAACTTTAGGAGAAAATGTGTCAGTGCTAACTTCTCTTTTTTAATGGTCAAACTGCTCGCTCTGGTTTTCCACTTCTGGGAAATCAAGCTATTTCCACTTGTGAAAGAAACTCATCAGCTGGTTTCTTTTTCTTTCTTTTTTTTTCCCTCATGGTACTGGGTTTTGAGTCCTGGGCCTTGCTCATGCTAACAAGTACCCTTAACATTGAGCTCTGTCTATAGCCCTAGTTGATTTCTTTAAAATGTCTTTTTAAATTACATTTTATTTATATATGGCATGTGTACATGTATCTGCACATGTGCATGTCACAGTGCAACGTGTGGAAGTCAAAGGACAACTTGCAAGAATTGAAAGTGTCTTTACCCACTGAACCATCTCACCAGTCCCCTCATTGATTACTTTTAGTAATCTGGGGCAGTAGAGGTATGGGTAGAATGGATGCTGAGATGTTTATAGCTCCTGACTACCACAAGTAGTGTTTTCTGAGCACCAAGATGGACATGTTATTTTCTCACAAGGTCAGAGCATAGCCAGACAGACTGATGTGACACAGACTCAATCAGGATAAAGCATGCCAATTCTTATGTAGTGGTAGGGGAAGGGAAGGTCCCATCCAAATACCTAGTGAGAACACCTCATCTCTGAGACTGGGAAAGCTTCCTGGAGGAAGTCATCCTGATGCTGAAGCCATTAGGTGAGGTGTTGAGAGGCAAGCCTCCAATTCCTGAGGTGGCAGGGTAAAGAGGGGTCTCTGGGTCTCATTCTTAAGTATCTTGATGTTTGAGGGTGTTGAGGTTCCTTTTTGAGTCCAGAACTGTCTTTGAGTATGACAGAAGTACTATTTCAGGAATCTGCCTCAGAGTTTCTTAGGTTTTCACAAATCTCCTCTTCCTCTTATTTCTCCCACCATACAGAAGAGATGGTTGAGTTTTTGTGTCCTTTGTATTAGTAATAATAAAACACATTAACATTGGATTTAATCTGAACTGAACCAAAAGCCTGAGTCCAGGAAAAGCATCTTCCTCAAAAAGCCCTGCATAAGAACATGGGCTCACTGGGATCACCATGAGTGGAACAACCTATAAGTGAGCATGGACAAGAGAAGACGTAAGTCAAGGTCATGCAGCAGACAGAGATGGACCTGAAGTATCAGCACTAACTCCCTCACTGGGCAAAAGCATGTCACCCCTAGGGACCCAGGAATGACCCCGTCTGCTTAGAGTAGATGACTGCTTTTTGTGTTCCTGACAACTTTCAAATGCCTGGTATCCCCATTAAGGCAGAGGGAGGTGAAAAGGTTTGGCTAGTATGAACCACTCAACACCTGACAGTTGCTTGAAACAAGCGCCATGTAGAACTTGGAGATAAGGAAAACTATCTTGGGCCATCAACCATGAAACAATAGCAGCTCTCAACTGCACAAGTAGCACAGTGTATATTTTGGTTAAAAGGACCCAGGCAAACCCCCCCCAAAAACAGCATTGCTAATTGATCTGCTCCTGTAGCCTGGGAAAAGCAGTAGCAATTATTAAATAAGTACATGTAGTTCTTCCTCTTAGCAGAGGAACATAGTCGCCTGTGTGAACCTCAGCTCCCTCGCTGCTATGGGGATCTAAAATGTGGGACTGGTGTTGGAGCCCTGCCTCTGTGCCTACATTGTCTTTACTGTTAGCAGATGAATAGCCACTTCCTGGTGTTTCTCTTTCAGAGAGGACTAGAAGATGAATGCTGGGTTCTCTGAAGGCCTTTAGGGCTTTCCCAGGGGAATTTCATGAATCCATTTCAAGTGAGACCACCTCAAGTATTTTATCCAAATATCCTGAAAATCCATCCATGCTTGTCTGGTATGGTAATAAAAAATTTTTTATGTGTACAGTAGGAACTTCATTTGAATTTCATTTTCAGTCTTAAATAGGCTCCTTGTTGCAAATTTCAGCTTTATTATTTGCTGACTTTCTTACTTTGGGTTCATGAAGTTCATTGCCATCAGGAAAGTAGAGATGTAGTACTTACACAGAAACAGTACTGTGATCATAAAAATTGCTTAGCACCTAAGTGCTTGATAAATGGGAGCTGGTATAATTATGTCTGAGAGGTACATCTTTATTATTAGCATTATTTTAACTACTGAAGTATTACCATCACAATTATAATGAAGGAATTGCACTTAAGTGAACTTTATGGGGGGGGTTACATTTGCTGGACTAGATGTGGGGCAAAGGATGGAAGAGCACTTTCTGTTAGCAGTGCTACAGATACTTCTTCCCTTCCTAGTCTCCTGGCAAGTTCTTAGTAAAGAATATGCTAAGTTCTCAATTTACCTGTGCTGACATAACTTCCAGAATAGAGGCACTCTTCAACTATAAATGGTACTTTAGAAGTTTAAAATTCCCTTTTTTTTTTTTTGAGACAAGGTCTCCCTGTAGCCCCAGCTGGCCTGGAACTGGCTATGTAGACCAGGCTAGCCTGGAACTCACAGAGATCCTCCTGCCTCTGCCTCCCAAGTGTTAGGATTAAAGGTGTGCACCACCACACTCAGCTAAATTTAAAATTCCTTTTGGAAACCAAAATTCCTTGGTTCTATATTCACTGAATATTGTGCCCTGCAGTAACCAATGCATTTCCATGATGTCTGAGTGTTCAGGATCTGGTGTGTGAGTGCCCAAGTTCAAAGACAAGTGACATCATTAACTAGCCATGAGTTCTTGGTCAAATTGCTTAGCCTCTGGGTTCTGTACTTCCCTCATTTGTGAAGTGAAGATAATAGCACATTTGGTTTCTGGGTAATGTAAGGTCCTAATAATCCATGTTGAATGCTTAGCCCTCAAGATAAGTTGTTGTTAACAGTAATTTATGATTTTTATTAATAGTACTTTTATTCTCTTCACAGACAGAAACGGTAATGGATGCTGCCCATAAACAAAGGAACTCACAGTTTAAGAAAACTATGGATGTGAGTCACACTTGCTGCTTATTTTTTTTGAAATAGTAACATTATCTGAAGTTCTGTGCTGAGTATGAACATACTCAGGTAACATTTCAGTAATGTTATTTATTAGCGTAGTGTTTGAAGGAAAAGAATCTTAATGGTTTGGCTTTCCTTCTAAGGCTTTGGGAGGCTTGAAGATGGAATGCAGTTGTACAGCTGCAATCATGCTTTCTTTCTGGTAACCTGGTATTGTAGAACTCTGTCCTCTGGGCATGACATGACCATTGCTTTCTGGAAGTCAGAGCAGCTGTGACTGCCAACATGAGACCCTCACAAGATTGGGGCCATTAACATCCCTTCATGGAGGGTAGGGAGGGTTCACAGGGCAGCAAATGAGTGATCATGAACGGATCAAAGGGGCCTTGTGAGGCCATGCCCCTCCCCAAGGATATATAGGCAGACAGCAGCTCTGGGGAAGGGGGAGACCTTTCTTCTGTGATATAGCCAGCCACGTCTAAGTTGTTCATGCTTCTATAGGCAAATCCTTTCCAATATTCCCATATATAACCCCAATTAAACTCATTAGTTTACCAAGTTGGACTTGGATGGAATCATCTCTTTGGTCTGTGGTTTGTGCCTGATCTGGGGTAAATAGATGTTTGTTCATCTCCCTAGGAAAAACAACCAAGTCCATTTAGATGTTTTTGATCATGGTATAAAGCATGTATACTATAGGATGCCATTTGCCTTATTGTGTTTAAGCTTTTACCCTGTGGCATCTGAATTTTGATTGTTTGCCTATTTTATTGAGTGACGCTTTCATGTTTTAATATATCTTGAAATTGTAAAAACCTTCTTCCCTTTAAGTAATTTATTAAGAATCCATGATGAGATAGGGGTAAGTTGTTAGGGCGCTCACTCTAGTTTCTCATGTATCTGTTAGCTCTGAATACAACAAAATCTTCCATTAGAGGCCACCCCTGAACATTGGTGCATTTGGGACGCACCTTCAAAACATGAGCCCCTGGGGTCATTTCAGCCAAACCAAGTATTACTGTTGTAATTTTTATTTCCACTGACAAAATAATTTAGAAAATCTGAGAGGAGGAACAAAGACTATTGTATTTGCTTTTATCCTCCCTCATTGTCTTTGTTTTCCTGCTGCTTTGATAGAATACTCTGACAAGAGCAATGTAAGAGAAAAAGAGTTTATTTTGCTCACAGTTCATAAATACAGTTCATCATGGTGGGGAAGTCAAGACAGGATGAGCTTGAAACAGCTGATCACATTGCATTGGGGAAAAGAGAGTGATAAATTCTGTGCTTAGCTCACTTTCTCCTTTTTAGACAGTCTAGGACCCCAGCCCGGGGAATGGTACCACTCACAATGGGCAGGTCTTTCCAGCTCAATTATCCTAATCAAGATAATTCCAGAAATTCATGCCCAAGGGGCATCTCCCAGGTGATTCTAGATCTCATCAGATTGACAACTGAGATCAAACACCATGCTAACCATGTAATTTCCTAATGTTCCAAAGTTTCTTGTATAGTTTTCTTTTGTTTAGAGAACTTCTTTTTACTTCAGGATAGGTCTCCTAGTGAATTTTTATTCTTAGCTTTCTTTTATCAAGACTGTCTTAATTTCCCTATAATTCTTTTCTTCCTACTTTGTTCATTATGATACAACACATGTAACATAAAATTTGCTATCTCAACAATTTTATTAACATGTATTAGTTACACATAATAGGTTTCTTTATGGCATTTCCCTATATTATATAATGTATCTTGATTATAGTCACCTTCTGTTACCCTCCCACTCACTCTGATTCCTTTTCTCTTTCCTACCTAGTCCCCCTTCTCTTTTCATGTCTTTTTTTTTTTTTTTGGTGATGCCAGTGAGTTTAATTAGGGTTGCTTATAGGAACATGGACAAGAGATTATTTACAGTTACAGGAGCATGAGTACCTTATCCGTGGTTACACCACTGAAGAAAATATCTCTCCCCTGCAGCTACCATTAACTGCCTATAAATCCTCAGAAAGAGTGGGGTATAGTGAGCCCCTCCCTCCTCCATGACAGAATGTTGATGAGCCCAATCTTGTGCAGGTGTTCACAACTGTCTTAATCACTTTTAAATGTACAGATCAGTGACATTAAATATATTCATAATGTAGTACTGCCATCACCCCATTCATCTCCAGAGTGCTTTTTATTTTGTGAGCCTGAAACTGACTCATTAAATTATACATGACCAATTCCCCTTCCCTAGCTCCTGTCAACTGCCATTCTACTTTCTGACTTTTCTTCATTCCTTTACATCATTAGGGTATATTCATTGTATAAAGTGATACATTTCAGAATGGCATTTTTATTTAACTATATCAGATACTTTAACCATGTTCATACCTTATTACAGCTGCTGTTAGATCTTTTCCTCTTCCTAAATAGTTTCCTCTACTTTCATGTCATATGTAGTTTTCTTTCATCTAAGAGTGTTTTACAGGCTGGTGAGATGGCTCAGTGGGTAAAAGCACCTTTCACCAAGCCTGACAATCTGAGTTTGATCCCTGGATCCCACATGGTAGAGGGAGAGAACCAATTCCCACAGGTTATCCTCTGACCTCTACATGAATGCCATGACACGCACCCCGCCCCCAACTAAATTAAAAAAAATTTTAAAGTGTTTTCATTTCTTTATAAATCTTTTAAAAATCGTTTGTGTGTATGTGGGGGTGGGAGAGGGGAGAGAAAGAGGCGTGTGTGTGTGTGTGTGTGTGTGTGTGTGTGTGTGAGATGGGATATATGTGGAAGTCAGAGGACAACTTGCAGGAATAGGTTCTCTTCTTCCATCATGTGGGTCTTGGAGATTGAACTCAAATTGTTAGTCCTGTGGCTAGTGTTCTTACCCACTGAGTCATCTTCCTGGCCCTCCATTACTCTTTTTTTTGGTAAAATGCATGAGATATAAAATTTACATGTGAGAGAAAAATAATATGTGTCTGAGTCTGGCTTATTTTTCTTAATATGATGATTTCCAGTTCCATCCATTTTTCCTTCAAATGACATAATTTCATTCTCTTTATGGTTGAATAAAACTCCATTATAATGCTACTATATTTTCACATTTTCTTTATCCATTCATCTATTTATTAACACCTAAGCTGATTCATTAATTTGGCTGTTGTGAGTAGTGCCATAATAAACATGAATGTATAGGTATCTGAAATATGCTGGCCTAGATCCCTTTTCTTTTTATTCTTTTTGTTTTTTATAATAAAAAATGAATTTTTATTAAAACACTCAGAAAATCAATATTTTTATATGGACAGGTAGATCTATTAATTGGTTAGAAAATAAAACATCCATTTTTTTCAAAGTAGCTTTATATAATCTCTCTCTATATATTTTTCTGGTCTTTTTTGAGACAGGGTCTCACTGTAGCCCCAGCTGTCCTGGAACTTACTATGTAGACCAGGCTGGCCTTGAACTCACAGAGATCTGCCTGCCTCTGCCTCCCAAGTGCTGGGATTAAAGGTGTGCGCCACCATGCCCAGCCATCTCTATATTTTTAATTAAAAATTATTACATTTATTTTTTAATTTATGTGCACATGTGAGTAGCGTGTGTTTGTGTTTGTGTGTGTGTGTGTGTGTGTGTGTATGCCACAGTGGGCTTGCAGAGGTCAGAAGATAACTTGTGGGAATTGTTTCTGTATGTCTACTATGTGGGTCCTGGGGATTAAATTTATGCCACCAGGTTTGTTGACAAGTACCTTTACCCACTGAACCATCTCAGTGGCCCCTTAAATTCTTTGTTGTTCCTGTTTTTTTTTTTTTTTTTTTTTTGAGACTGGATCTCCCTGTAGCCCCAACTGGCCACTATGGCTAGCTAAATATATTTTATTATTCAAATTTATCAAATTTATTATGCTTCTGCTGGCATAAAGTCCACCTTGCTGTGATGGACTCCCTGAAATTGTGAACCAAAAAAAAATTCTTCCCATAAGTTGCTTTTTGTTAGGTATTTGGTCACAGTGAGGAGACAAGTAGCAAATACATGCTCTTACCATGCTGTGTATTTTTTTTCCGTTTGTTTCGGGATGTAGTTCTTGTTGAATGCGTTTACAATCTTTGTTAGATAATTCTGACATCTCTGTCATCTTGATACTGAGTTGATGACCTTCATCCATTTAGTTTGATATATTTTCTAGTTCTTAGTTTGGGTAATAGTCAGCTGATTTAGATATACTAAGACTGGATTATTTCAATCTGTTTTAGCTGGTTTTCTGTGGAACTACTACAGCTCAGGGAGGAGGCATTGCCTCATTACTGCTATCTGTGGGTAAAGGTCCAGTTTCCCCCTGGCTACTAGGACCACAGAGTAGGTGTGGCTCTGGTCAAGAGTTCTGACTCTTCCATTAGACTTTCTCTGCTATCACCCAACAGGGGAGGAGATCTGATTACTGTCTAGTAGGGGTAGAAGTCCAGGTCCCCTGTGTGGTTTCCAGGTTTCCACTGCACTGTGTTGATGTTGTTACTTCCTGGAGAGAATGAAAGTCCCAGTTCTTGTCCTCTGATGTCTTCTCTGGAGGGGAGCTGGGTCAGTCTCTTTATAGCCTGCTAGCCATGAAAGTTTAGGCTTTCCATTTGGCCTTTATTGGCATGTGTGAGGGAGCCCTAGTTTAAAAAAAATTATTATTGTGTGTGGCTGTGGGTTTCATGATATGTGTGAATGTGCATGCCATGGCATGTATGTGGAAGTCAGAGGACAACTGTGGAATCAGTTCTCTCTTTCCACCTTTACATGAATTCTTGGGATCACTCAGGTCACTAGGCACACACAGCAAGAACCTTTATCCACTGAGCCATCTTGCTGATAGGAGCCTCAGGTTTAGCTTCAGGGGACTGGTTATTTTCTAAATGTTTATGTTCTGTTAGACCGGCCTGTTTCCTAGTCTTTTGGCTAAAGAGAGCAGACTTTAAACAAGAAAAAAATTTTTGTGACTCTATTTCTGGGGCTGC